AGGACACGGAAACCATTGGCTGTCTTTGTGAATTGGGGCCCCGCCGACAGCAGAGAGATGATCCGGGGGGGCTTTTGGATTTAAGGTTTTGGGATAAGGGGTTTAGGGTTTAGGGTTTTGGGATAAGGGGTTTAGGGTTTCGGGTTGAGGGGTTTAGGGTTTAGGGTTTAGGGTTTAGGGGTTTAGGGTTTTTGGATTTAAGGTTTTGGGATAAGGATTTTCGGATCGGATTGTCGGTTGCCGGTACGGTCTAGGGCTAGTTTAAAATGGGCTCATGGCTAGGTTCCGTGAACGTAAGCATAGCTTAACAGCAGGCCTGAAAGCGTTTGGAATCCAGCCCTAATTTCCGGACCCTGAGCCGTATGGGAGTTAAAAGAGCCGGGAACCCAAACATAGGTCTTAAACCAATAGTAAATAAATGAATAAATAAATAATTTATAATAAATATAAATATATATATATATATATATTTATACACATACACATATACATATGTATAGACACACACACACACACGTATATATATATATATATATACATACATACTGTGAGGGTCCCAGATCCAGAACCCCCTGAATCTGTAAGGAAGATGTTCCTAATTTTGGCCCCTGCCAGACCTTGGAAGATCGCATGCGGCGACTGCGCTTGCAAAAGAAGGAAGCCAAAGCAGAAGCCCGGGCAGCTGCGAAAGCACTGCAGAAAGAAGCGCGCCGCCAGCAAAGCCTCAAGAAACGCTCTCGAGAGCTGTCAGTCGCGGACTTGTTGGACGTGTTGGCAGTCAAACGTGCTGCTGATGCTGCTAACAGATTTTAGCCTCTCAAAGCATTCTTTTTAAATCCTCGGCTATGGTTCCAGTACGCTACTTGCCAGTAGAGCAAGTACCGTGCTTGAAAGCATTGTTTTGTGATGCTCCATGCAGTACGCTGCTTGCCAGTAGAGCAAGTACCGTGCTTCGAAGCATTGTTTTGTGATGCTCGGCTATAAGTTTGTGGTTGCAGTACGCTGTTTGCCGTAGAGCAAGTACCGTGGCTCGAAGCATTGTTTTGTGATGCTCCGCTAAGTTTGTGGTTGCAGTACTGAAGTACTCCGCTTGCCAGTAGAGCAAGCGCCGCGCCACATTGACTGTTCGGCTTTGTCGCACAAACGTCGGAAAACCCAACATGTTGAATAGTTCGTATACCCCATAACCGTTATCAAGCAGTTGTGACACACAAAGCCCGTACTTCTGAGGTGTTTGACGCGAATGCGCCACACACGACGGTGAGCCTGTCCGAGCGAGCAGGGTGAAATTTCGGGTTTGCGATGTCGAAGTGTTGCACTTTCAAAGCGGCCTCTTCAGCTGGCATGCATTTACCAAGCAGTTGGCATTGTCTGTTGCAGCGTACACAGTTGCCGCTTCAACGTGAATCCGTTTGTCAAGCAGTAGCAAGCAACACCCGCAGCGGCTGCAGAGTGCGCCTTGCTGGGTCCCCAGCTGCTGCTCTCTCGACTCATCGGTGCTTTGCAAGGCATTGGAAAGCTTGAAACCGAAGTTACGACAGCAGACGTCTTCGTAGAAGGCATAATTGTGGAAGTAGCAAACATGGGGCTTGCAGAGTCTTCTTGAAAATCACATTTTGGAGGCCTGTGCACGAAGTATCAACAACAGACGTGATCTGACGGTTTGCTTTTACGTTTAGGATTCAGGGGACGTGAATATGACAAAACACTTTCTGTCGCACCCAACCCACTCACAAAACCGAACCCGAACAGTAGGCGAAATCCTAAGTCTGGGCATCAGGAAGTTTGGACGCGAAGTTCCAACAGCAGACGTCCGCTTTGTAGACCCTTGTGTGGCACCCAACCCACTCACGAAACCGAATCCGAACAGTAGGCGAAATCCTCCTAAGTCTGGACACCATCAGGAAGTTTGGACGCGGAAGTTCCAACAGCAGACGCCCGCTTTGCAGAATCTCAGACCCCAAGTGACAATAGCAGACGTGGTTGGAAGCCTAAACCCTCAATCGTAAACATTAATTCCATTCCCTCAGTAACAACTGCAGATGTGCTGGTGCTGGAGGCCTAAGCCGAAACCTTGAAAGAACAGCAGACGTGGTGTGACGGCAAGTAACTGTTTGAGGTGGCGCCAGCTTCGAGGCGTGCCAGCAGAGTGACAGAACCGGAGACTTCAGAAACATGCTCATGTGATGTGATGTTACGTATTCTGGCAATCACTGCCATGGCGCTTGCATTCATTCTTTGCGAACATGCTATCTTAAGTTTGGTACGTGACTGTGAGCACTGTGGCTCACAACTGGCGTTGCTGCTGCATGTTGGCTTGGATGGGTGATGGCATGGGTGATGGCATGGGTGATGAGATGGTGTGTGTGTGTGTGTGTGTGTCCGTGTTGGTCCGTGGCGACACATGAGCTATAGTCTAAACTCCTATAATCCTTCTTATATCCCCTATAGAAGTTCCCTATATAATCCCTTCTATAAGCCCCTATTACGGAGTTTAGATATAGCTCATGTGAGGTTCGATGACGACATGACATGTGATGATTATGACCACGCTCAAAGCGTTGTCTTGCGAGAAAGTGTCTGCGGCAGGCTTCGTCTAACGCGCTGTGTTGCTCAGTCTCCAGTTATCGGTTGGATAGCAGATACTACAGAGTCTCATGTACCAAGCTGTTCGTGGAGTCTGTGGGTACGTGCCGTGCAGAAAGTTTGGCATTCTTCCCAAAGATGACAGCCTCGCAAATGCATCTTTGCTTTCAGCACGTGCTGCAAGAGACAGAACTTGCGCGCGAGGGTTCTTCCAGCTGTGCACTTTGCGCAGTCTCCACAGCGCTGTTCTCAGCTTTGTCCGGTTCCTGCGCCCGCACAGCGAAAGGCAGCCACAATTGTCAAGCTGTGTATGATGTTCGCATAGGGTTGGTACTGCCCGCACTCATTGACAGTTGAATAGCGCCTGTAACATAGCAAACCCGTTATATGTCCCTTGTGTAAACTGTCAATGGGTGAGTGCAGTACCTGAGGTTTAGGATGTTGTCCAAAGGTTCCAAGATCCGAGTGCCCAGACCTCTTCGTTTGCACTTGCATCTGAGCGAAAGTTTCCACACAAGCCACATTGTCTCAGGCTATGTGTGATTCGGATAGGTTTAAGGTGGGTACTGCCCGCATTCATTGACAGTTGAACAGCGCCAGTAATCGAAAGCCTGTCATATGATCCTCGTAAAAACTGTCAATTGGTGAGTGCAGTACCCGGGGTTTAGGATGTCTACTGGTTCCAGGATCCGAGTGCCCAGACCTCTTCGTTCGCACTTGCATCTGAGCGAAAGTTTCCACACAAGCCACATTGTCTCAGGCTATGTGTGATTCGGATAGGTTTAAGGTGGGCACTGCCCGCACTCATTGACAGTTCAATAGCCTGTAATAGAAACATATCAAACCCGTTAAATGCCCCCTGTATAAACTGTCAATGGGTGAGTGCAGTACCCGAGGTTTAGGATGTTGTCTAATGGTTCCAGGATCCGAGTGCGCAGACCTCTGTTCGTTTGCACTTGCATCTGGCCGAAAGTTTTTACACAAGGTTCTTCCAGCTGTACACTTCGGCCGAGGCTTGCTTTTCGCAACTCAACGCGCCCAGAGACAAGCTGGAGTGTAGGATTGTGTAATCGGTTGAGCCAGGGTCTGTCACCGCTCATTGGCAGTTCGCTTAACGTATATTTTGATTGTATCAAGCTGTTTATCTTACACGTAATGTGTAAATTTGTCAACGGGCGTGCTGGACACAAGGTTGAGAACGTTTTCTGATCGTTGCAGAAGGAGTGGCTGCCAGTCGCTTCCTTGGCTTGCGCTGCATCACATAAGCCAGTTTTCCGGAAAGCGACATCTGGATAACAAACATTGTGAAGCCTCTCGCAATATCTTTCTGTGTTGGCAATGTGCAAGATCTGCAACATTATCTGCAGGACGCCTGCGTGCATGGATCGTATGGAGCCTGAGGACGTGGTTGACAGTTTGCAGCTTTGTAAGTGTGCGTAATGCAACGTGGAGATCTTCCATGTTGGTCGCAGCTTGCTTCCAAGCAAGCGCAAGATCGCGTGAACGAGGAACGGTGGTCATTTGAGCCTGGACGTATGCTGTTGCTGATGATCATCATGCTCCATTCACCAGCATCATGATGCTCTAAATGTTTCACCCACCTGGCCACGTTAAGCGTGGAAGGTCAATTGCAGTTTCACCGAATCCTGTCACACTACAGCCGGGGCGCTCACATCACGTGAGAGAACAGCAAGCACCGCTGGACCCGGAGCACATGTCTTCGTGGAAACTGTGATACGAGCACAAAACGCAGAAGTGCGAAGTGATTTCATTGTCAACACACAAGATGGCGGACTACACACCCTTTGGACAATAGTCCATGCTACAGTGTTAGTGGAAGAGTTTCCATTCTGCCTGGTCCACCCCACGCGTCACACACCTCCCCTTAATTAACATTGTATAACCCAAACGGGGTGTGGTGTAAAACCCACAGGAACGGGGACCCGCAGGGACCCGCACGTGCATTTTGCCTGGGAAACGAGGGACCCGCAGGGGACCCGCAGGGGACCCGCAGGGACCGCAGGGACCCGCGATTTCAATATTCCTTCAAAAAATAGGACCCGCAGGGACCCGCGATTTCAGTATTCCTTGGGAAAAATAGGACCCGCAGGGACCCGCACGGACGTGTTCATCAGGTTCCGCCGCAACCTGACTTCGAACAAGCAGACGCGCAACCGCAAGCTGCACCGGCGCCGTCGGCACCTGCTTTCCGTTTGAGATCGACGGGTTGCCTGTTCACATGGAACGGCTTCTCTTTGAATCCTATGATCTTTCAAGAGTTCGTGGCTTGGATTCACTTGTTGGAGTTCGTCTACCGGTTTAGTGCCACAGTGGAGAGGCCTGCTGGCACATGTTGCACGGATTCGGAAGCCTTTGAGATCATTTGCTTTGGGAGTCCTGCTAGATCTTGGCAGGTCGCTGCATTCCGACGAGCTACGCTACCACTTCCATGCTTTTTTCGAATTCCAGCGCCGTGTTGACTGGACGTCGTTGCGGACTGGTCTGAAGTAGAGTTGCTGTTTCGTTGCTGTGTCCGCTTTTGACCGCTGTAACTCGACTCGCTGAGCAGGAGTGTGGAGTCCCACTCCATCAGGCCCCACGCGCGTCCAACCTCAGCGAGAGGGCCGAAGCTGCGAGATGCGCTGGATCACGGGCATTTTTACGTTTATTGCGACAAGATTGGAACAGAAGCCGTCCAAAGTGAATTTCGGCACAAAAATACCATAGCAAGGGTTCTTGAGACAGCTTTTTCAGTGACATGAAATTGTGCGCAGGAAATTATCTTCCATGGCGTGATTACGGGGTTCGTGGATTCTGGATAGATGTGCTTTGGTCCGAGCACAAGCTGAGCCACGCAACATACCTTCTCTACGCGTTCAACTCTTAGCGCATTGCCAGCACGTGTCGCAACAGTGAATTATCGAAGGATCCCTGCTGCATTCTGTGCTGAGGTCCAGAGTTCGTGTTGGTTTCGTGGGCCGTCAAAAGCAAGTCGAAGCTGTGCAGCGGTTTGAACAAGCGGAGTGGTTTCTGCAGAAGCAGACACCTGTGGCGAGCCAACTTTCTGCCGCCCTAAGACGGCCCTTAAAACACGAGATTCTGGACCTTGTTCGTCCTTGGGCCGGGCAGTATGGGGAGGATCGGATGCGGTACCAGTTTCTCGTCATCCGTGGGGGGTCTTGTTCTGGAAAGTCAACATTGGCAAAGGCTCTTGGCGAGATCTTCGGCTTTGGTCAGGTGTTCACGCAAACTGTCCAAGATGCCCCCGCGCCAGATCTGGCGAAATATGATGCCCAAAAGCACGGCTACTTGCTGTTCGACAATGTCAACAGTCATACATTCGTCTTGGACTCGAGAGCACTCTTTCAAGCAAACAGTGACGTCCACACGCTGGGAGTGAGCCGCACTTTCATGTACAGTTATTCTGTCTGGCTTTGGAAGGTGCCCATAGTGGTAACTGTCGATGATTCGGCAGAGTGGGACAGCACAGAACCGTGGATTGCAGAGAATGCGATGGAAGTTCTGTTTCCAGGTCCCTGCTATACGTAGGCTAATAGGCTGTGTGTGCACATCTCTGGGCTTCACAGACGTGAGGTTGTCAGCCAGCAGGCGTCCGACAAAAAATCGAACTGACGGAGCTTTGAGGGTAGGATGAGTCGAAATCCACGTTTTGTGGAGATGTCGAGATGTCTCCGTAAATTCGGCGAAAAACTGAAAGAGTGCTTGGCGAAGCTTCAAGGTTATACTTACACGCGGATATGTTTTCCGTTTATGGTTGAGTGTAGCTCAAGCGCGATTGCAGAGAGCTGGTCATGCTGTTGTTTTTGGTACCGTCCCGCTGGAGACAAGCGGAGGTCAAAGGAGGGGGCCCCCTCAGTATATATATATATATATATGCTACCCCCCCTCATGTATCTACGGTTTGTCTGTGTTGGTCATATAATATGTATATGTATGTATATATATATATGTATATATATATATATATATATCAGAAGGGCGGCCAAGACACTACCCCCCAAAAGCCAACTTGGTTAAGGGTGTTAGGGTTTAGGGTTCTACCTGATTGGGAGCGAAGTAAGGCTTGTGAGGGTTTGGCTCCGTCTTACCGGGATCTCCACCCGGACAGGCCTCGAAACCGGAAAGCCCAGCCTAAACCCTAAACCCTAAACCCGAAACCCTAAACCCTAAACCCTAAACCTTAAACCCTAAACCCTAAACCCTAAACCCTAAACCGTGAAACCCTAAACCGTGAAACCCTAAACCCGAAACCCTAAAAAGACTTGAAGACGAGGGTTTGGGAGTTGCGAGTGGAGGGATTGTGGGGTTTAAGGTTTCGGTTTTGAGGGTTGGCGGCTTTGGGTCTAGTTGGGGTGTAGGATTTTGGGATTGTAGGCTCTCAGGCTTGCCGGTAGGGTTTGGGTTCAGGGTTTAAAGGTGTAGTGGTTTAGGGTTTGGGGATTTAGCGTTTAGGGGGGTTCAGGGTTTGGGGTTGAAGCTGTCCCTGGTAGAGCTAGGCCCTAGATTGGACAAGCAACCGAAGTTTAGCATTAGTATTCCGTTATAGTCCTTTCATTTCATTAATGTAGTATAATCTCCCCCAGAACTCTGTTCTGGCTCTTCAGGCACATCCTTTTCGATATTGAAGCGTGTCAGATGAAGAACCGTAGAACCACCAACCCTCAACCCTAAGCCCCTAACCCCTAAACCCCTAAACCCTAAATTCTTAAACCCTAAACCCCTAAACCCCTAAACCCATAAACCCTTAAACCCTAAACCCCTAAACCCCTAAACCCCTAAACCTAAAACCCAAAACCCCTCAATCCCTAAACCCCTAAACCATACAAGCACCAAGCGAGGCCGAGGTTCGAGCCTAAACCCTAAACCCTAAACCCTAAACCCAGGATCCTTTAAGTAACCCCTAAGAACCCCTAAGAAGCGACACCCCGAGGTCCGAGCGAAAAGGAGGCAGGTGCCAGCTCTGCAAAACTGGGCAGCCTCTCGGCGGACGCTTTGGGGTTTAGGGTATTAGGGCTTCGGGGTTTAGGGCCTAGGGTTTACGGTTTGGGGTTTAGGGGTTTTGGGGTTTGGGGTTTCGGGGTGCAGGGTTTACGGTTTGAGGTGTCGTGTTTAGGGTTTCATGCTGTTTCGGGTTTACGGTTTCGGGGTTTCGAGTTTAGAGTTTTGGGGCTTTGAGTTTAGGGTTTTGGGGCATCGGGTTTCGGGGTTTAGGGTTTTGGGTTTAAGGCTTCCGGTTTAGGGTTTCGGGTTTAGGGTTCAGGGTTTAGGGGTATTAGGGTTTAGGGGTATGAGGGTTTAGGGGTATTGGGGTTTAGGGTTTAGGGGCATTAGGGTTTAGGGTTTAGGGTTCAGGGGCCTCAAGTTAAGCCCATAAAGCCTTAAGCCCTTAAGCCCCCAAGCCCCTAAACCCTAGCCCGAGACCCCTAAATCCCTAAACCCTAAAGCCTAGAGCTTAAAACCCCTAAACCCTAAGCCCAGAACCCCTAAATGCTAAACCCTAAACCCGGAACCCCTAAACTCTAAACTCGGAACCCTTAAACTCTAAACCCTGAACCCCTAAACTCTAAATCCTGAACCCCTAAACCCTGAACCCCTCAACCCTAAACCCTGAACCCCTAAACTCTAAACCCTCAACCCCTAAACCCTAAATCCTGAACCCGTAAACTCTAAACTCTGAACTCCTAAACCCTAAACCCTCAACCCCTAAACCCTAAACCCTGAACCCCTAAACTCTAAACTCTGAACTCCTGCCCTACGGTAGTATAGGGGCGTACATAATTTCCTATATATTTTATTGGGGGTTTCCTTATCATTAGAGTATAACATACACTCTATTCTATTATTAAGGCCCCTATGTTAGGAGTCTTTTGGGGGTTCCTTCTTATAACTAGAGTATCAGGGGCCCCAAAGCCTTGTTCTAATTATTAAGGCTCCTATACTTAACCCTACACCCTTAACCCTCAACCCTAAACTCTGAACCTTAAACTATTACCCAAGAAGGCCCCTAAAAAACCTTAAACCCTAAACCCTAAACCCATGAAGGCCCCTAAAAGTAGCCCTTAGCCCGACTGCAAGGTTCCGATCCAACTACAGCCAGACGGATTGCTCCGAGACTTGGCGAGATACTGGCTCGGGGGTTTAGGTGTTAGGGTTCAGGGTTTCGGGTTTAGGGTTTGAGGTTTCGGTTGCAGGGTTTGAGGTTTTCGGTTGGGCTTTAGGGTTGGGGGTTTGAGGTTTAGGGCCGGAAGGGCTTATGGTTTTAGGGTTGAGTGTTTTGGCTTCTCTGTTCGGGTGAGAAGTCGTCTCATGTTCCTCAGTGCTGGCTGGGGTTAACATACGGGGCCCTAGTTGCAATAGGGTTTTGCGTGTGTGTGTTGGGGTTTAATATACTATGAATATCAAGGGAAGTGGTGTTTTTGTTTTTGCTGTGGCCCCGCCGGGTCTTTTTAGACCCAATGTAGTACACCAGACATTTTTTGTTATTGGCTCGCCGGCTTCGGCGGTTTTTTTGCTCTGGCCCCGTCCGTGCCGGCGGCCAACGGCGCTTCTCCTTCCCCTGCCTATCGGCAGGGCCGGAGCAAAAAAAAGCACCCTGGGTCCCTGGGTGGTGTTTTTTTTTTGCTCCGGCCCCGCGCCGGCGACCATCGGCGCTTCTCCTTCCCCTGCCTATC